AACAGGAAATCTCTCCTGTTCCTGTAAAGCCGCCAAACTGCTTTATGCCATTTTTATTGAGTTAGAGAGTATGAAGTGGAAAAAGCCCCCCTGGGAATAGAGAGGGTATTGTGGCACACCGCTCTCCTTTTTTTTATAAAAGCCAAACTAACAGGTCACACTCGGCAAACCTTGTTGGCGTTACAAACAAGCTCAACTTTATAATTGGCTTATTGGATTACAATCAATGAGTGCAACTTTATAATTATGACATATGTATTCCAGATGGTATTTTATTTTTCTTTCCAGAGGAAATCAGCCCTTCCAAGTGTGAATTAGCATGATGAAATTTAAATACACATCACCCTTGATTGTACAAAAAAAGGTTTGTGAACTGAGCAGATAATATGGTAACATTTACAGCAGCGATTCTCTATTTTTTTTGTTTAACAACCTTGTCATTGATAACACATTTTATAATTTACCTATTTTATACATCATTAGCAAAAATGAATGTGCCACCATCTCGGATTTGGGAGCCGGAAGTCACTTCCTGATCACAGAGGAGGCTCCCAAATCAAAGACTACTGAAGCGCCATCAAGGGAAGCCTGTCAGTTGGAGGCTGACTTTGCCAGTTCCGGGTGAGCTTGTATGAAAGATCTCCTAGCATTGATTTATTTGAGCCTGAAATCCCAGAACTTCTTAAAACAAACAAAGAATTCAGTTATTAACTGTTTAACTGCAACTATACTATAGGCATGAAAAGAGTTCACTCCTACTGATCACTTTATATGTAAAGTATAACTAAAGCCAAATCTATTTTTGGATAGACTAGGCTAGGGAATGATCAACCCCCCTTTTTTATTTTATTAACTTATTTTTGCCATCTATGCCTCACTAGAGAAAAGTTCCCCTTCACTTCCTGTCCTGTAGACACACCAGCAAATGTCAATAGTGAGGAAAATAGGGAAACAAGTGTCCCTATTGGAAAATGTTTCTCTATGTTCTAGAGACAACTCAAAATTTTGGATTTTCCCTGCCTGACTTGTATGGGAATGGAAGAGCCACTTGCAGCGAACAGAAGCACGTCAACAACAGATCCTAGCGGCCCATTCATAATTTCCTTTACATGTGCATTACAATAACACACGTTGTATAACACATTGGCATGACTTGCGTTAAGTCAGCACATTGATTTTGAATGGACTGCCAACACACAAGAATGAACCAAAAATGGAAATACAGCATTTTTTTCGACGTGACACACCGCAAAGCCCGCCAGTATATTACTATGCGTTGTGGTAAGCTGCAACATATGTGTTTTGAGGCTGCATTGCCTTAGTGCGTTGGGGTGCTGTTCCAAATGAATGGCATCCCAACACGCTTGCCATGCACTGTAAAGGAGCAAAAATGTTGTTGAACCGTAAGAGCTACAGGTTAGCTCAAAAAAAAAAAAAAAGAATAGAATATAATTTGTGTGCATATACATGTTCTGCATGCCTATCAAAATGAACGTAAACACACAAGCATGCATGAATCAGGCATGTCTTTCTCACACCATCATGCAAAATCTCTGTTCTAAATGTTTCTTCCTCGCTTTGTACAATGCATGAACAAAAAAAGGTGTATTAATCAAACAAAAAAGTGCATTGCCACATGCAGTTAAATGCATAAAAAATGCATAATACTGCATAGACAAAAGGTGTGAGCGGGCCCCAAGACATACAGTCACATACACGTCTTTTTTACATCTTTCAAGTAGCCTTTAAGAAGCAACCACAAGGTAAACAGTCATACAGTAATATATGTTATCATTCAGGAAGCTATTTAACATTTCAGAGAACAGACCTTATGTGCTGAAATGAAAAAAGAAAAGTCAGAGTGAAAATCTCTCGGTACAGCAGCACTGAGGTATGATTACAGAAGAATACTTGCCCTTAAGACACACTGTCAAACGTTATCTGAAATTTGATTTAGAAATGAAAACCAACCCTCCCTTTGGAAGCAAGTTCTAGACCTGATCACTCTCCAGATAAAAAGGAGCGGAAATTGCAATTAATCAAAATCTTTTACAAGTTTTACTTAACAGTTAGCAGATTGTAATGATCATTCTACATGGACTGCATTACCTTAATTTACACAGAAGATTTGGCAGTAGCTCCATCTCCTGTATCACTTCCTCACATGAGTTCCAGGGCTACTACAGTGCATGGAAATATCCAAAGTGAATAGGGAAAAGGGAAACTTCTCTCAGTAAAATATACAAGGCTCAGGATGCTAAACAAGCCAGATTGTGCAATTGTATACGGCACTTCATTCTGACATCCAGAAGGTACCATCAAAAAAAAAAGCACTGTAGACAATAAAAAGGGGAATACCAGCCACATCAGATAATTATTGTTGTCTCTCACATTTGCTTCTAATCAGTTTTATGTGACGTAAGGCAAACGCACCGTCGGGAGGTGCTTTAGTGTAACATTCAGAATAAATGGCAACGCAAAGAACCACCGCACCTTGTATGTGACAGAATCCCCTAAATGCATGGAAACTGTGCCTTCAGCACAGCGCTATTATGTGAGCCGGCCCTTGTTTAGGAGAGAGGCAGAGCAATAGTGTTGTCTATTCTAGTCTCCATCTGTGGGCCAATCTATGGTAATCTCTACATTTGATATAACAAAAATATGAAACAAGCATGTAAATAGCAAAGTAAACAATGCAAAAATAACTAATTGTATGTGCTCATTAGAAATAATATATACTTTCCCTTTGAATGTGAGTGGCTCTCTTCTCTGCATATTGTAATAAGCAGTTCCGGCAACTGGAAAGCCACCAACTTAATTCTGTGCTACTGAAAACATGCAAGCCCAGCCATTTGGGAATCAATGTTAGTCACTCTTCAAAAACAAAAAAAATAACTGCAGTTATATTTGACCGCATAGTCACAGCAACTGGGAATGACAGGCCAGCCAGAATGTGGTTGTAAACACCGATGTGGCCGATGCCAGCAGTCCATACAATAGTTGTACCACATAATGCACATGTGCCTGCCAAATGAGGCAGTATCTATGCACCAAATTTGTCGATTAGATGGTGTAAATTGTCCCTAAGCAAAATATACAATCAGACAATATCTGTGTTTTAGACAGAAAAAAATCCTAATAATGGAAGGCATTGTTTTCCGGTTGGTTCATACCTTTCTTTTCTGGCTTCTCCTTTTTTTTCTTATCTTCTCCCCCTGCTTTTGGTGCTGGAGGGGACGGTTTCACAGGAGCTGGTTCAGCAATGGATTGTGAGGGAGCAGGTGTAGACACAGAAGTGGTACTATTAGGAACATCAACCTGTTTCACTTAAGTGCCAGAAACCGAGAGAGAGTAAAGTAACAATTAGATGCACAAAACAGAGGAAAAAAAACTATTTAAATGGGGGACAACTAAAAGTGGAACTCAAGGAATGATCATTTCTGAAAACTTACATTGGTCCAGCTTAGCTCAATATAAATATCCATATTGGATATCCGGAGGGACACTGGAAATCACTGCAGTAGACCATGCTACATACAGTGATAGCCGTGATCTTCCAGTTTCAGCAGATTCCTCTCCACACATAGAATGCAGAGAATCGCTCGTTCAGCACCACTACCGTTCAGAGAATGCCATGTATTCTTTTATTGAATGCAAGGCATTCTTTGATTGAACAAGGCGGGGATCATGACATCATTCCCCCAGCCCCACCTTGTGCAATCACCAATCAGAGAATGCCTTGTATCCATTGAAAACTACACAGCATTCTATGAATGGTGTTGGGGCCAAACAAGGTGCCTCCATTTGTTCTTTGTGCAGAAGGGAAGCTGCTGGAGCCGGACGCAGAAAATCACGGCTGTCACAATATGTAGCGGAGGGTACTATAGTGATTTTCAGGTCTCGGTGGCCCTCCAGATATCAAATACGGACACTTACATTAAGGCCTTGTTCACACCAAATGCAGACCAGATCCGGTCAGGTTTCTGCACACGCAGTGCAGTGGGTTGTGCTGCGTTTTAGACGTGTTTTGGATGCGTTTTTGATGCGTTTAGGGCCGGTTTTGGTAAAAAAAAAAGTTTAACATGGGCTTTCAGGCACTTGCATGCGTTTTTGATGCGTTTTAGATGCGTTCCAGATCAGACCCAGAGCAGGTAAAATAGGGGTTGCCGCAGTTTTTTCATCCGGTCTGGATCCGCACGCTGCGATGTGAACTGGAGGTCAAAATACCATAGGAATACATTGGACGCAGTTTTGATCCGATCTGCACCTGCTCTGGTCCGGATATGCTCCGCGCTTGGTGTGAACAAGGCCTAAGACAAACTGGACCTATTCCGGGTTTCCATAATGCATGGAAACTGTGCCTTCAGCACAGCGCTATTATGTGAGCCGGCCCTTGTTTAGGAGAGAGGCAGAGCAATAGTGTTGTCTATTCTAGTCTCCATCTGTGGGCCAATCTATGGTAATCTCTACATTTGATATAACAAAAATATGAAACAAGCATGTAAATAGCAAAGTAAACAATGCAAAAATAACTAATTGTATGTGCTCATTAGAAATAATATATACTTTCCCTTTGAATGTGAGTGGCTCTCTTCTCTGCATATTGTAATAAGCAGTTCCGGCAACTGGAAAGCCACCAACTTAATTCTGTGCTACTGAAAACATGCAAGCCCAGCCATTTGGGAATCAATGTTAGTCACTCTTCAAAAACAAAAAAAATAACTGCAGTTATATTTGACCGCATAGTCACAGCAACTGGGAATGACAGGCCAGCCAGAATGTGGTTGTAAACACCGATGTGGCCGATGCCAGCAGTCCATACAATAGTTGTACCACATAATGCACATGTGCCTGCCAAATGAGGCAGTATCTATGCACCAAATTTGTCGATTAGATGGTGTAAATTGTCCCTAAGCAAAATATACAATCAGACAATATCTGTGTTTTAGACAGAAAAAAATCCTAATAATGGAAGGCATTGTTTTCCGGTTGGTTCATACCTTTCTTTTCTGGCTTCTCCTTTTTTTTCTTATCTTCTCCCCCTGCTTTTGGTGCTGGAGGGGACGGTTTCACAGGAGCTGGTTCAGCAATGGATTGTGAGGGAGCAGGTGTAGACACAGAAGTGGTACTATTAGGAACATCAACCTGTTTCACTTAAGTGCCAGAAACCGAGAGAGAGTAAAGTAACAATTAGATGCACAAAACAGAGGAAAAAAAACTATTTAAATGGGGGACAACTAAAAGTGGAACTCAAGGAATGATCATTTCTGAAAACTTACATTGGTCCAGCTTAGCTCAATATAAATATCCATATTGGATATCCGGAGGGACACTGGAAATCACTGCAGTAGACCATGCTACATACAGTGATAGCCGTGATCTTCCAGTTTCAGCAGATTCCTCTCCACACATAGAATGCAGAGAATCGCTCGTTCAGCACCACTACCGTTCAGAGAATGCCATGTATTCTTTTATTGAATGCAAGGCATTCTTTGATTGAACAAGGCGGGGATCATGACATCATTCCCCCAGCCCCACCTTGTGCAATCACCAATCAGAGAATGCCTTGTATCCATTGAAAACTACACAGCATTCTATGAATGGTGTTGGGGCCAAACAAGGTGCCTCCATTTGTTCTTTGTGCAGAAGGGAAGCTGCTGGAGCCGGACGCAGAAAATCACGGCTGTCACAATATGTAGCGGAGGGTACTATAGTGATTTTCAGGTCTCGGTGGCCCTCCAGATATCAAATACGGACACTTACATTAAGGCCTTGTTCACACCAAATGCAGACCAGATCCGGTCAGGTTTCTGCACACGCAGTGCAGTGGGTTGTGCTGCGTTTTAGACGTGTTTTGGATGCGTTTTTGATGCGTTTAGGGCCGGTTTTGGTAAAAAAAAAAGTTTAACATGGGCTTTCAGGCACTTGCATGCGTTTTTGATGCGTTTTAGATGCGTTCCAGATCAGACCCAGAGCAGGTAAAATAGGGGTTGCCGCAGTTTTTTCATCCGGTCTGGATCCGCACGCTGCGATGTGAACTGGAGGTCAAAATACCATAGGAATACATTGGACGCAGTTTTGATCCGATCTGCACCTGCTCTGGTCCGGATATGCTCCGCGCTTGGTGTGAACAAGGCCTAAGACAAACTGGACCTATTCCGGGTTTCCATAAACAATCATTTCTGGAGATCCACCTAAAACATTCTCTTTTCTCTGGCTGTGAACTATTTATAAAACATTAAAGGCTTGTTCATACCAGCAGGCGTGCATGTGCCCAGACAGTGCCGATGCACTTGATCGTGGTGTATTGCACTTTTTTTCTTTTTTGTTAAAAATGTATTGAAAATGTCACAAGTGACATTTCATTAGGTTCTATGGGAACACTGTGGTGTGGTTGTACTGCGTCTTACTGAGGTATGCTTAAAAAAAAAGTACTGCATGCCATTTAACCAGCCCATTTGGGGATGTGGTTTAATAACAAAAAAAGAAAACAAAATAGTCTTATCAATTGTATAACAACTTGTATAAAAACCAAAGCCATATGCTGGACTAGTAATCTAAACGAAATATATGAAGACCCTGTGTAGTCATAGAAGCAGTAACATTCACAAACATAGGAGCATTGTGTGTGTTAATCTGGCAATGCCAGCTACAAACTATGTACACAAAACCGCCAAGTAACCTGAATTACATAACATTATCAACCTAAAGCTGACCGAATGAGATCAATCACTTGATTCCCCCATCCAAACTAAACAGGGGTGGTGCCAGCAGGGTCACCCACACATCGAATTCTGCAATTTAGCTGCAAACTGCCAAAATTCGGTGTATGGCCAGCTTTAGACAATTCTCTATGGTACAGTAGCCAACTCTGGTGTAAGACAACTGACATAATGAAGCTACAACTTTCCAAAAACCACTGTTTCTGTACACAGGGTATGTGAAACACGCGGTTACAGTTGGTAACGTAAGTCGTAAGGTAACATTTACGCAGGCGATTAGGATCACCAGCGGCAAGATTCAGGGATTCTTGCCAAATTCAAAAACTTTGCCTTTTGCACACTGTGTGCAAACATCTGCAGAGACCAGATTTGTGCCTTGTATTTGTGCCGGCACCACAGTTGTTTGCATGTTCTCATGTTAAACAACGACCGATTACAAAGACTTCTTGATAGGATACTTACTGAATAAATTGTTCAGACAGATCCACACACAGTTTTAATAAATCTAAATGAGGTAAAGAGTTGCCCTAATTTGCATACAAAGAGCTTCCTTAATCTAAGTTGTATTAGTAATTGATTATATTTGGGCAGCTTTCAACATGGCAACAAGTAGATCCTTTTTAGGGAATATGTACTGAAAAATGTACCAGCTGTTAATAATAACATAGCGTTTTTAATGTACCTCCATTTTTTTTCTCCGTTTGCACAAGTTGGTCTTTTAGGGCTTCAATTTCCTTCTTCAGTTTTGCATTTTCTACGCGGAGCTTCTTTTCTTCCCGTACAGATGCCTGCAAAACTGAAGCCAAAGTATAGAAATGAAGGTCTGGTTAGTCTTGTAATTACCTGTTTCAGCTTTGAAGAGATTACATCCTTTTGAACTAAAGCTGTAAGCACTACAGATTATTCTGTTTGATCTCTTTGTTTTAACGTGTAGATAGGTAGATAGGTAGGTAGATACTTTTTTCTGCATGTGTTGTATTGCATTTATTGGAATTGCCTTTATTCTCTGTCCTGGAGACACACCAGAAGTAACAGGAAATCTCTCCAAAGAGAAGGGAAATAGGGCTACTGAATGTGACAGCAGTATTTATTTTATTTTTTTAACATGACAGGATTGCTGTTGCAAGCAGTAGGTATTTTCAGTGAAAATCTCTTCTCAAAATGAACATTATATTCCCAACATAGGCAGACCCAATTAACACCCCCTCTCGCCTTCCTAATGGCCCTTTATAGTGATGGGCATCCTCAATGAGCAATAAGAAACACTCCAGAGACAGGAGTGGAAGAGCCAAGGTTAGCATAAAACTTCAGCCGCCAGTATATCTCTCTGAATCAAATTATGGTCTTGATGCTCACGCATTTCTTTTTACTACATGCTTTTTGATATGTCTGCATGCGTGACAGGCTACTTAGACAATAGGATTACTTTTAAACATGTTGGGGATAACTGGGCCCCTTGCCCTTTCAATACCATATATACCCATTACTACTGACCGCTAGAGAGTTACTTCATGAAACATGGCCTATGTTGGCTCCGGCTGTTCTGCAGTGCTCTTCAGTAAGCCTTCAGCTGTGACATACTGCTTAACCGCAACTTCTTTCAGGGTTAGTTCACACCAAAACTGTGTGTGTCTGAGCAGCTGCAGTGCGATTAGTTTTTTTTCTTAAAATTAGCTTTCAGGTGCAGTCCAGTGCGTTGGCATGCATTTTTGATGCGCTCCATTGCGATCAGGTGCAGCTAAAATTAGACAAGCAGTATTTTTTCTGGCTGCATCGGAACGAACTGCACTGGTGTGAACAAAGCACCAGAGATCCCACTGGAAAGCATTGTGACACCATTTTGATGCAGCTGCCAAACTGAACGGACTGCATCACAACTGCATCTGGTGTAAACTAGCCCTCAGGGCTTGTTCACACCATGTCCCTTCAGCTGCCTTTTTTGCACACCACCACACGTTTGGTGTGAACAGGGCACATAGAAGACAACTGGTGTGCAGAAAAACAGAGTTCAACGGACATGGTGTAAACAAGCCCTAAAAGTATTGTTATCCTTTAAATATTATTACATATGGTATGAAACTATCCTGAGGTCACATTTTAAGATACTGTACTTTCACATTTACTAACCAATGATCTGGGTTAAAGGCTGTTACATTCAAGTTCCAATGTGATCTCTATGTCCTAGTATAAAGTATAAATTAAAAATGCAAGTAAACGGGTTAGTGCCTACAATAAAGAGAACAGACTATCTCTTACAAAAGGAAGAATGGTGTTAGTTACATAACATTCCTTACTTGCTTTTTCTTTAAGAAGGGCAACTTGCTGTTTCAAATACTCAATGACATGATCAGCTTCTGAGGCCCTCTGCTCTAGCCTGTTCAATACTGGGTTACTAGCAGCCATCTTCCCCAGAGACCGCACAACAAACCTTAAAAAAAGAAAAGAATGTAAGGCAGGGTAAGGGATTGGGGTGAGCATTGCACATTTCTAACTGTATTATAATTTTTGGATTGTGTGGACTCATGCACTCATCACACAACTCTCTCTAAATAGGATGCTTGAATGCTGTTAACACTCACAGCCCTGATGTGCATAATAGCCATCATTCTCCTTTTGGTTGAACACAAGATTTTCGAACTTAATAATCGATTTTGAAAATAATCGTTAGCTGCAGCTCTATTTAATTCATACACAGCGTAGATCTGTGATGCAGCAGACCTGCAGGGGAATTGGTCTCTGCACTTGTTGAGATACTCTGCAGAATATTCACATAGAAATATTCTAACACACATCAGTAATGTGGGCTTTAGCGGGCTTCAAGCTTCATCTGCAAAGGTGGAGGCTTTGATACTTCATGAGACCTAAAATGATTTGTTTAGAATTGTTCTACAAAAAATAATTTATATTAGAGAAAACAAGCTAGTAAAAGAAGACCACACACACACACAATAGATTAATAAAGTATAACTCATTTGGATGTAAAGCTTTCAGTAAAGGCCCCTTTTCACATGGGCGGATCAAGAGGGGATCTGTGCTCAGATCCTTCCTGATCGGAGTGGTACGAATCGAATGTCACCGCTGTGACAGCTGTGTTCGTCCATTTTTTTTTAGAACTAAACTTGCCGGACTCCATGTTGGTCCATGAGGAGTCAGGCGTAAATGGACATGTGTCAGTTTATATCAGATTACCCCCCATCCGGCATTATTAGGTACGGCGAAACGGATCTCTGATCCATTTGTATTTCCGGACCTGGCCAGAGTTGGGGGTAACCGGGTGTAAACAGACACCTGTTTGTTTACACATGGGCTGCCCCGACACGCATTGGGCATCCGCTTGGGTCCGCTTGAAAAACTGACAGGCGGACCCAATCAGACCGCCTGTGTGAAAGGGACCAAAGCATTGCATTAAAAAAAAAAAAACACTGTTAAACAAGGATTCCTTTATTTCGTTAGTTAAAATAATTACAAGAACAAGCATACCTAATGTAATTTTAACAATGGTCTAAATGTTAGTAGGAATGTTATCTGTCATCTCTGAAGGGGATGGAGGTGGTTAAGGACAAGAAGCACATGTTTAGAAAAAAAAAAAAACAGCAGATACAGGACCAAGCTTTTTTGAACAAAGCCCAGCGTCCTGTATTACACATTCTGTAATAGTATACCTAAAAATGACAGCAATAGTACTTTATAAATCTTAATATCATGATTATTAGCAACATTTTGTTAAGTATTTTACTGTATGTTTGAGAGGATAAGACTAAAAGGAGCAGCACATGGTTTTGTGATCAATCATGGAGCAAAAAAGAAGCCAAATGCTATTAATGAACAAGTTGTAAAACCAGCAACTGTACAGAACGTGAACATGCATTAGAGGCTCTTCGGCAGCTAACATTACCAACCAGAAATCGGAGAAGGATCGTTTCCATAACATGTGAAATGATAACTATCCAGAAACTGCTACAAATGAAGAATGGAAGCCTGTAGCTTTTGTGTACAGCACTGAATTACATGTTTCTACGTGCCAGATCGTGCCAGTATTTCACATCATTATTTTCATCCTTGTGTTAAAGACAACATTTCATCAGCATAAGAAAGTTTTTAAATTACCTTAAAAAGCAGTGCTGGGCTCGTTTCCGACAGAGGGGAAAATAAGACTATTTGGAATCAGACTGAGCTCTTCTGGAGCTAGCAGCAACTGGCTCCTGTCACTCAAGGGGTGACATTCTTTAGCCTGCTCTGATCTCCCAGTCATCTGAGAACAGACAGCACTTGTGCCTAGCTGGACCAAATATGCCCGTGTTGGTGACACTCCAAACCCCCCCCCCGGAAGAGATATATGAAAGACAACAGACCTTGTGCTCACATGCAGAATGTTTCACAGCTGTCACAACTATGATTGTCCCAAGATATACAAGGAAAGACAAAGTTTTGCAGTTTTTAATTGTTGCTTGCTGTTTAACCTAACAATGCATTTTTCAACTCAGTCTGTCCCCGGCACAAAGCAAAGTAACCAGATTTGAGGTCTGCATGTGATTAATGGGCAGTGTAAGGTTTAATAAATGGGTAATAATGAGCACAATCAAGCAATTAAATATCTTGTTATAACTCTTAAAAAACACATTTGAAGAACCTCTAGGATCAAGGAGTGATTATCACTTTTAATAGGAATAACTAAATTTATTAAGAGCCCAGAATTTCCCATTCACTTTACGACTTCCTCTGCCCAACTATAAGTTACCAGAGGGACTATTCACAAAATACCAGCAAATTATTCAGTAGAAGGGGCAAACAAAGTCAAGTGCCCACTCTGCTGGCTGCAAGTAGTAAATATTTATAAGTATTGTTTAATTCTGATGAAATGTTGTCTTTGTGAAACCAAAACACAAATCGTCCTTACACCCCTGGAGGTCCCTTGCTCAAATCCCAGTCAGAAAACTATCTGTAAGGATTTTGCATGTTCTCCTTGTGCTTGTGTGGGTTTCCTCTTATACTCTTAAGAATTAGGAATACAAAATTATTTACGGAGTATTTACTGTACTCCAGTATACATCTCAAGGCTTCTTTTTGGCTAGGTTCACACCTAGGTGATAGCCACGTAATATCACGCAAAACACAGATTCCTATTGAAGTCAATGTGGCCTGTTCACAACTTTGCGTTGCATCGCGCAGCTGAAATAGTCTGTTTTGCAGGAGCTATTTTTGGGCGGTTTTCAAACCAAGATGGCGTGCAAACCACCCAGCCCCTACCCCCCTCGCGCGCGCAAAAACAGCTCATCGGCTCAATCGCCTAGGTGTGAACCTAGCCTTTCAGTTTTGCCGGGAGTTTACCTTTAGGCTTCGCACTAAGGGCTTGTTCACTCTATATCCGGACCATGTCCAGACCAGAACAGTTTGTTCCCGGACCAGTAAAGCATCCCAATGCATCTCTATGTTATTTCTGGGCTTCACACCAGCGCAGTCCATTCTGGTCGAGAAAGAAAAATACTGCTCGTCTCATTTTCTCTGGTCCGGAATGAACTGGAACGCACATAAACACATCAAAACGCAGTGGAACGCACCTGTAAGCCCACTTTAAGCTGTAAAACACTGCACCGCGTTTGCAGATCTGCTCCAGATCTGGTTTGGACAGGGTGTGCACATAGCCTTAAGCTGGCCATACACTGTTAGAATTGCATTTGAACATGCCTTTGATATCGATCATCACAGCATTTGATCTTGCCATCATTGAGTCAAATACATTTGTTCAAAAGCCCTTTCATCCAGGGTTCAAATTTCATCCAGACCAGCTACTTGAATGGAATCCCAGACGTATTAAACTTTTGTGCCTGGTATATGCGAATTACAATATATATTATTTTTTTCCGAATAAAAAACAAATCACACATTCACGGTTAGAATTTCATTTGTTCAGACAAAAACTAGAAACATGTTCAATCTTGCTCCTTCGATTTTCCTTGGTAGTAGGGTTGAAAATGAACTTCAATTAGATCCCACTAACCATTTGTATCTCGAACGGTTGTTCCAAAACAAGACTTTTCAAACTAAACTCTACTGCTGTATGGTCCAGCTTAAGAACTGCTCTCTAAACTGCCTTTTGAAAAAGTCTATGCTTGTTCATAAGAAAACAAATCAGCCAAAAGAAGACAGCTGCAACAAAGTCTGAGAGGTAGCTAAGCAATAAAACTTGTATGGTCATTTTACTTGATGACAAGCCAGGTCTATCCTATCATTGCCCCAAAATAGCCCTGCTACTATCATCAACCCAGTTATTTTAACTAGTAACGAGAGAAGTTGTGAAACATGTCTGATAAGTTCGCAAGCAAGCATTTCTGAAACCCTTTCAGCTACTCAAGATAGAATTATACAACTCTTTCAACTGAAGATCACAACTACATGGCTTCCCAAAGTATTCCAATATAAGCTTTTCAATGTTTACATTAAAAAGAGTTACCCTACCATTCAAATGGAGGATTCTTAGATGGATAGAAAATCTGATAATAGAACAGTTATATATGATATGGCATTGTGACTGTATTGGCAATCATTTCCAGCCAACTTAATGCTATACTGGAGAATAAAAGCTATATGTTTTATGGAAAATGTGATAATTTCTCTATGATTCCAAACAACAGGGTATGTATATTGTAAGATTCCTGTCAAACATTAAAGCCAGGACACACAGTAGTCTACAGACAAAAGTCAGTTTAAAGGATATGTGCACTTTAAAACAAAGTGCACTTATCCCATTTGCTTCTTTATCCTGACCTGTTCAAACCCATCCTCTTCCTCCACAGATGCATATTTACTTTTATTTGATGGCTGCGGCCTCAGGTATTTGATTATATCCAGCATTGCAAGTGCCAAGACCATTCACACCAGCAGCTGCACTACACTGCATGGATGCTGGTGTGTGTGCCCAGCACAGTGCTTATGCACTGATCATGGCGCATCACACGGTTTCCTTTTTGTTTTTAGTTAGAAAATGTCCCACAACCTTTCATTTAGTTCTATGAATACAGCACGGTGTAATGTTGTTGAACCACATCACAAGTATTACCACATAAGTACTTCAGCCTCTTGGTCAGATGTTCCAGTTACCGTATCTAAATATCTTTTTCCTTCAAACACATTGCTATTCTGGCTGACTCTCAAACACTTAAAAGCAGTTTACCTTAATAAGTGCTACAATCTAAACGCAACAAACATCAACGAAGCAAAGAGAGAACCAGAAAAAACATAAAAATAAGACAAGAGCTCCACCTGCAGTCTAAAAAAAATGTAAAAGAATATGCAATTTACATTATATGCTTTTTGGACTCCCAAACATAGTATGAAAGTAAGAAGGGGTAAGAAATACATGATTTACAAGCCACTATGCATCCCCTTTAATACTGATCATACATGAAAAGATAAAGATCAATTTGCTCA